ACACTTACAATCTGACTTCGAGGGAACACTCCCTCCCCCCCCCCCCCCCCCCCTCTCCACAATTAGTCGACACTTACGACATACGACATACTTATCGGGGAGGCAGTGGGTCTGTTCTTGTTTTCTCCAACTATGAGGCCCCGGAACCGACACGGGGGAGCTCGCCTGATTAAAAGCGACATCACAGTGTCGGTCGGGATTATCTGTATTGTACTTTTTTGTATCATACAATCATAGAATGTCAGTTTGTTAAAGAGTGAATGCACAAAAAAAATGTAAAGTAAAGACCATTTTTCACGCCTTCAGGGATATTTGGCATATAGTGCTAGCCCTCTCTTTTTATCGGCACTGGATGATGTGATCAATATCACGCCGGCTGCCTTTACTTCACAGGACTTCACCTGATGCCCATTTAAGACTAGGTCTACCTGAGAGGTCATTTTTGAAAATCTGGCTACGTTAGGATTTGATCCAATCACATTGAGATAAGGCGAGCGTCTAGAAGCTATATCACAGGCTCTCCCTGTATGTTGGTAGCACTGTGCTTCATTATTATGTTTTCAATAACGAAGCCTCCTGGACTGTGAACGTATGTATCCAAGTTATGTGAATTTCATGAAACATCGTTTCAGCTTTCCAATATTTTTAAAACAAATATTCGATGAAGTCGGATGTGTCGATCCAAACGCTTAAATTATGCAGCCATGCTGTAAACAGGCATAACGCATTTACTACACGAAATCGAAGGAAAGGACGATTTCGTAACAGCTGTTTAAAGCTACCCACATTCAAACAATTTCAGCTTCCGTACATACCACACATTCCCAATGTCTCTCCCCCCCCTCTCTCTCTCTCTCTCTCTCTCTCTCTCTCTCTCTCTCTCTCTCTCGTTGCATGGTTATATGTATGCAATCAAAGATGCCCAGTAGTTTAGTGTCAAATTTGTGCGTGTTTGTGTGAGTATGTGTGTTGTGTGTGCGTGTGTGTGTGTATATATATATATATATATATATATATATATATATGCGCGAGAATCTATAGAGGCCTTTAGAGACTAAACACTGAGAAAACTGATGTGATACCTGCTCTTTCCCATACCTCAATACTTGTGATCTTGTTTTGCCGCTTAACGTCAAGCATTCTTGTAAGGCAATACACATGAAATCTATTTAGCAGCAATAGCTCATCTCTAAAAATGGTACAATTTAACAAACACCGCAGCTTCATTTGTGCTGAATACGGAACCTGTTCTATCACATTATTCACTCATCGGTTGTCCCCTGATCTGCAGTTACGAGTATTTAAATTTATAATTTGAAACAAGATATTTAGTCATCAAAGACAAACTGTCAACAGTTACGTTATGAAATTAAGTTGCAAGAAAGTGAATTATAAGCAGCTTACATGATCGAAGTAGTTGACATTACTTGTATACTTTGTTTTCGCAAGGATCTTTAGATTATCTGGGCTGGTGATCTTCAAGATGGTCGCGTTTGTAGAAGAGACTCTGACAGTCAAGAAAAGACATTCTGACCTCTCGATAACTCTTTTACCTTTTAGTTTCACAACTTTGATTACCAGTCCGTAGACACTCTTTTCATCTGGGGCTGAGGATTAACGATACAACGAAAGCAGACACACTGCAAGAATGATTGTAATGCAAGAGTGTGTATATTGCCATTATACACACATACACATATACAAAGGGATCTCGTTAGCGCAGTCGATAAGAGGCTCGCTTTCACATCCAGCTGCGACTCGCTGCAGCACACGGTCGGTGTTCGAAACCAGGTGGTTCACGGGGTTTACCCAGCCACTAGGAAATGGGTACCAGAGTTGACACTCTAGGGTAAATGGAGAAACGTCGCTGTAGCTACAGAGTTACGTGCTGACAGCGACACAAGCGGACTATTTTTTATCAGCTGTCCGTACTGGTGGCAGAGCACTCATGGTTTATAACCGTGTGCAATGATGCTAGTTCACATCTTCCGACTTTACCTTTACCTTTACACATATACACATGTACACATATACACATATGCACATATACACTGCTTCAGATCGATATATATATATATATATATATATATATATATATATATATATATATATATATATATATATATATATATATAAAGTTCAATATATCAGCTCTTGTTGTACTGGACATGTCTTCAAGACATACTGGAATAGATTATGACTCATGTATGTTTCTTGAAACATGGATAACTAACTAGGCATTACGAAGTTACAAGAATGGAACAGAATCATGGGTAGCACTTTCTTTATCAATGTTGTTTGAACTAAACTGTTTCACAGTGACAGTCTCTGGCGATAACACGAATATGGGACCCCCATAAACGCTAATGAAGCTTCCCCAAACCATCTGTGAATTCAAAATAGCAAACATTTGAAAACCTAGGCTGTATGGGAACAGTCAGTAAGGGCACTTTGGCGAATACCAAGCACTGACAGAAGTATTAGGAAAGTGTAGAAAAAAAGGGGTGGGGGGGATCGGGGGGGGGGGGAGCGGTTATAACTAAGCATCAAAGGCTAGGTGAGTGAAGAACAAACAACTACGCTATCAAAGCGTTTATTTAGTGGCTGATTGACACGCAAGACTCAAATACATGAAAACTGCTGTTTGAACTAATGTTAACAAGTAAACGGTAGATCTTAGCGACACAATAAACACCTGTATACATCACAAAGCATGAATTACACTATTTGCAATAAACTTTTCTTCGTCTATTTTTTCCCCGTATGGCTTAAGGTTTCGTATTCTCAGGTGTACAGACAAGCAGCGCCAGATTTCAAAGAAAGGATAAAAATGAATCTCGTATGGCATTGATGATTTTTCTCCTGTCCATAAATGACCCATTCCTGATAGGTGCACTGCCAGCCAGGACGTCTGCTTTCTCATTCCCTTTCCCACCAGTATATCCTGGGACAACAATAAAGGTGATTGTGCAAAAAGGTGCATGCTGTATCAGGTGAAGCCACTGAGTTCGTATATGCCCCATCTTGATCGTCAGTAGGATGCTCACTAAGTCGCAGAGTAAACATGCGTTTGCAAATTCCTGAGTTTTATGTAATTATAACGCTTTTGTCACAGCCATGACCTCCTCCTCCTTTGTCATGCTGGTGGTGGTAGAAGCAAAGGCTCCACTGCCTTCTTTAATGACTTTTCCTTTAGTTCTTGCCCTGAAAGTCCATGCCCTTCGCTTCTGACGAGTAACAGAACCATCTGTACATATAACAGTATCTTCTGGTCATGTTTGTTACTCTACCAATACTTTCACTTCTGCATTAGTCATTTGTAGGGCCAAATCACGGCACTGCCTTGCCAGGGAGATACCCATCACAAAGTTCGGATTGTATTTCCACGGTTTATGTCTTGAAGGGAAATCACCAGTTGAAGTAGTGTCTCTGCACGGCCCAACAAAGACTGGTATTGATTAGGTCTTTTGCCTTTGCGTGTATATTTAGTTCATCGACAAGCTGAAGACACAACTGGACATTTGTGCAGGCTCCATAAATTTGAGCTAGGAGAGGAGTGGGTCAAGGTGTTTGAAAAAGTTTCAGATTTTCGTAGAGTTCTAGTCACTTCAGGTCTTGGTGCTGCAGAATCAGAAGTTCAACAAATGATCCATGACAATTCCCGCATAACTGAAGTGATTTACTATACAGATGGATCTGTTTTGAGGGGCAGACGAAGTGCATAGGGGTTCATGGCAAAGGCGAATGGACGTCACAACGTTTAATAATCGCTGATCATTCACAACAGTGAAACAATTGGAGGTGTGGATCTTTTGGGCTGCTATACTTAAAAATCTACATTGAGGATTAAATCAGGTGTATATTGTAAATTTTGGCACACTGTCATATTAGCCCTCGTAAATGCCTGGTTGTCATATCGTCGAGTGTGCATCTTTTAGGGAATGAAGGATGTGTTAAAGCAAAGAGTGCAACACAACTGAATGAAATTGGTGGAATTAATGGTGGGCGGTGCAGGCTGTTGTGAATTGCGGAGAGGACTGATAGCACAAACCAGATGGCAAATCACTTAATGATGATGATGATGATGATGACTATATATATTAGTGTAATCAAATTATTATATATATTTAGATATAATCTTAACATCTTTGAGCATTGTAATGTATTTTTTATAGTAATTTTTTTTTCCATAATAGCCCAGTGGGTCACGGGTGCGACGTTTGAGTAAAGTAGGTCAAGGCCACTTATTAAAAAAAAAATTATGATTTATATGCACTATTGGCCTAATGTAAAACCTTATCAACATATTTCTAATTTGGTCTCAACCTGAAACATGGTCTGGGTTTTTCAGGTTAAATGTGTCATTAGGTGACAGCAACCTCGTACTGTATGTCTCCGTTAGGTGGCGCTAGGTGTTGCATGAGCATTCGCAACATAGAACGCAAAAGGGATGCCAGCAAAGGACATTCATAAGGAAATATTTCCTCCTGATGCTGACAAATGTGTATTCCGTAAAGCGGTGCACAGCTGGGTGGGAAAAAAAATCAAGGTCGCTTAACGACTTGATAAAATCCAATTAGTCCTGCAGAGATTGCAACAGACGCATCAGTGTATTGTGTGGAGGAGATGCTTAAAGGGGACAGGCAAGCAGCCTGCAATAGGTCGCTGACATTGTTCCATACAACATAATACACCTAAAATCCACCTTGGCGGGAGATATTTCGCGAACAATGCCGAAGTTGAATTTGAAGTGAAAATACGTTTTAGAAAACAGAGCACGTAATTTTATGCTGCAGGTTTTGGATGACTGATAAATCGACGGGACAAATACATCAACATTGATGAAAATTATGTTGAAAAATAAAGGGACAATGTATTTATTAAAGTAAACAGGTTTTAAGGTTGTTATCGTCTTTATCTTGTAATTTTAAAATACCATTTGTGACATACTTATTGACTTCTTCTTGTATGTTTTCTATCTGTAACAGTGTACACAATACCTTGAAAATTTAGAAACACGTCTGCAGGTTTGCTGAAACGAAACAGATCCTTCCCCGTTCTAAGTTCATATTTCTTGTTTTGTCTAATAAGGCGCACTTTCACAACCGACATGTTTCCATGAACTCTGTCTGCAGTCCAGCCGTATGGGTTTTTCTTGAACACTTCAATCTATAAAAAATGGTAAAGTTTAAAGCAAAACGTCATCTTGAAGCTGTGCTGTAAATAAACAGTGGGACCAATTCCATAATTAATGTAAAAAAAATGATTTAAATATTTTCATATGGCAAATTCTATAAATAAAACAGCATACTCGATTATGTTTAAAAAATAAACAAGCATAATCAATTATGTAAAAAATCAGCATGATAAACTATGTAAATATGCAGCATTATAAATAATGTAAAGAACCCCTTTCCATATTTTCAGCCGTATTGGGCATAGAGGGTTAGACCTGTGTTTTATATACCAATCGGCCCTTGACTATTGTCGACAAGAACTCTTCAAAATAGTTTTTTTTCCGTTCCTGTGCCAACAAAGACCAGAGAGCATATGTACATAATTCCGGACCGGACACATAATTGACATAGACACTGCTTTCCGTGTGGTTTACCACACTCCGAACAGGAGACTTTTGAGAATCGCCGAAACCATAACAATAAAAATCAACAAACCTCCTTTGTTAAGTCACGTGACTACGGTGAGCTTCCGGTGGCTATGAAACAGAGACAATGTATCGAAGAAACTATTCGCATTTCAGTTGAATTTATTCAGTTTTGTGTTGTTTTTTTTTTTTTTTATGTTGATGTAACTCTGTAGTAACGCACCTAATGAGATAACGAACGAACGAACGAACAAACTTTATTTTCAAAGGGTTACAAATTGGGCACGCAGGCCCGTCTGACATTCGGCCCTTTTAAGCACTCGTTTTTCAGAGTACCACTGCCTGTTATCTAAAATGCATGTTATGGATATAGAATAAAAATATACATTATAGAATATAATACATTCATCATGTGTACACAGTCTTACACACTTTCCCATTCTCATACATGCACACTCATATACCGACATACCTAGCACATACATACATACATGCATACATACATACATACATCCATCCATCCATCCATCCATCCAAACATACATACATACATACATAAACGCATCTGCATATATACACAAACAGAAAAGACACACACATACATATATGGACAAATATGCACACACACATTCCATATATACACACCTACACATGCATGCATGCATACACACACATACAATCACATGTACAGACACCCACAACCATACATTTACACTCAAATGTAAGCATACATACACACATACATACATACACACATCAATACATACACCTACATCTTTACACATATACATGCTTACATACCTAAATACACACATGTACACTCACATACTTATACGTCTACAAATGTATACACACATCCACAAACATGCATACATACACACACCCACATACATGCCGACACACGTTACATACATGCATACACAAATATATAATCACCCATACAGATACTCACATACATACATACACTCATGCATACATACATACTTGCCTACATTATGTACACAAATACCCACAATCACACATGCACTCACATACAGTCACACATACTTACAACATATATACATAAATACACACACATACAAACTTAAATATACATTCATATATCCACATGCATGCATACACACATACACCCACAATCACACACACACCCAATACATACATATATACACACATATAGATACTTTTATACATACATACACATACATAATACATACCCACATACTTACATACATGCATACTTGCATACATTCATAAATACACACATCCACACACAGCTACATATACCGACAAACATCCATATACATGCATGAATACCCATACACCCATATACTTACACAGCTAAGATACTGCGAAACATGCCTGACAATAAATTGCGCAATGTATTATTTGTATCCGCATTATTTACATTAATTAGAGGAAAACATTGTTTTGAAGAACTCTTCTTGTTTACCCCACTTACAAATGTGAAATTCTCCCTTGTTAGATAATACAAATAATCTTATCACATTCTGTGACAAAGCGACAATGGATTAGCGAGTTTAACATGGACCCAGTGTCGATACAAAATTGTGTAATCACAGTTCCAACTTCCAAACAAATGTGTCACCCCATAGTTTTGTCGTTCCTGTGCCAACGAAAACTAGAGACCATCTCGATCACTGTGTGTTTGATATGTATGTATGCATGAGAATATGTGTGACATACATGCATGTGTATGCGTTTTTGTGTATGTATGATTTTGTGTTCATATGAGTGTATGTATGGGTAACTGTGTTAGTTTGTGTGTATGTCTTTGTGGGTCTGTGTCTCTGTGTGGAGGCGAGTGTCTGTGTGTAAATCTGTAGGGGTCTATTATATAATGTGTGCGTGTGCGTATGTCTCTGTTTCATTTTATGTGTCTGGGTGTATGTCTGTGTGCGTATGTGTGTCTGTGTGTGTGAATATGTGCGTATACGTGTGTGTATCTGTATATTTGTGAGTGTTGCGTATGTCTATGTCTGTGTGTGTGTCTGTATGTTTCCCTGCCTGCGTGTGTGTTTGTGTTTGTGTGTGTGCCTGTGGCTGCATGTGTGTGTGTCTGTGTGGGTTTATGTTTGTGTGCGTCGGTATGTGTGTTTGTTTTTGTCTTTTTGTGCGGCTACGTGTGTGTATAGCTATGTGTGGCTGTATGTGTCTGGGTTGTATGCGTGTATGTTTTAGAGTGTCTGTGTGGCTGACTGTATGTATGAGTGTGTGTGTGTGTATGCATGTAGGCATGTTTGTATGTATGGATGCATGTTTGTAGGTGTGTATGTATGTGTGTATGTATGTACGCATGTACGTATGTGTGTGTGTGTGTGAGTGTGTGTGTGTGTGTGCATGTTCGTATGTATGCGGATGTATGTTGGTATTGGGTGCCTATGTATCTGTGTGTAAGTGAGTGAATGGGTTTGCATGTGTATGTGGGTATGAGTGTTCGCGCACGAGCGTACGCACATATTTTACCACCTGTACTATTGTTTTTAATTTGATATTAATAACATGCATATTTTTAGAAGAACATAACATGCTTTTTTGTTGAAATACAACTGATGTGTGAAAGATGGGAGTTTGGAAGGGCCGAATGAAAGACAGGCCTACGTGCCTAATTTGTGACCCTTTGAAAAAAAAGTTAGTTGGTTCGTTCAATCTTTCTCATGTGAAACAAATTCACACATACTGCTGCTTCAGCGCATCCAATAACATACACGTCCATTAAATGCATAAGCCAGCAGTCAGATGTGCCACCACAAACACCCCGACACTAGAACTGCGGTTACCTGTCGATGAAAGCAGCAGTTACAATACAAAAAATACGTAAATAACAGTAAGCGCGATGGCTGAGTATGGGGGAGAGAAAGTGTCAGCTTTACCTTACTCTCCACAATGGGAGAATAGGGCAGAGAATGTGTCAGCTTTACCGCACTCTTCACAACGGGAGAATGGGGCAGAGAATGTGTCAGCTTTACCTCACTCTCCACAATGGGAGAATGGGGCAGAGAATGTATCAGCTTTACCTCACTCTCCACAACGGGAGAATGGGGCAGAGAATGTGTCAGCTTTACCTCACTCTCCACAACGGGAGAATGGGGCAAAGAATGTGTCAGCTTTACCTCACTCTCCACAACGGGAGAATAGGGCAGAGAATGGGTCAGCTTTACCTCACTCTCCACAACGGGAAAATAGGGCAGAGAATGTGTCAGCTTTACCTCACTCTCCACAACGGGAGAATGGGGCAGAGAATATGTCAGCTTTATCTCACTCTGCACAACGGGAGAATGGGGCTGAGAATGTGTCAGCTTTACCTCACTCTGCTCAACGGGAGAATGGGGCAGAGAATGTGTCAGCTTTACCTCACTCTGCACAACGGGAGAATGGGGCAGAGAATGTGTCAGCTTTACCTCACTCTTCACAATGGGAGAATAGGGCAGAGAATGTGTCAGCTTTACCTCACTCTCCACAGCGAGAGAATGGGACAGAGAATGTGTCAGCTTTACCTCACTCTCCACAGCGAGAGAATAGGGCAGAGAATGTGTCAGCTTTACCTCACTCTGCACAGCGAGAGAATAGGGCAGAGAATGTGTCAGCTTTACCTCACTCTCCACAACGAGAGAATAGGGCAGAGAATGTGTCAGCTTTACCTCACTCTGCACAGCGAGAGAATAGGGCAGAGAATGTGTCAGCTTTACCTCACTCTCCACAACGGGAGAATAGGGCAGATAATGTGTCAGCTTTACCTCACTCTCCACAATCTCGTTCTTCACCAGACCGGCATGTGTTGTCGGTATGCTGAAACTGGCACTGTCAGAATTAACAGCTATGCTGGTGTCTTTACTGACGTTTTCCCAGGCAACAATGAAGTGCATGAACTCAGTCGTCACCTGCTGGTGCAAAACAAAAAAGTTTGACATTTCGATTATACAGCATTATAAAAAAAAAAAAAAAAAAAAAAATAAAGGATCCATTTTCATGCGTATTGGGCATTTAGGGGTAGACCATTATTTGATAAACTAATCAGCATTTAGTGAATTATCTGGTCATCATCATGCCATCCGCCTTTACTTCCCAGTATTGCACCTGATACCCACTCACGGCTGGGTCGACCTTGGAGCTAAGGTCATTTTTTACGAAAGCTCGGTTCCGTCAGGAACCGAACCCACGACCTTCCTGTCCGCAGGCGAGCGTCTTGTTGCTAGGCCACGGCTGTTCACTTATACAGCATTATGAACGAAGAAATAAATGCTTGAATGAGTGAATTATTGCATGAATGAATCAAAAACTCACATCACTTCACTCTGGGCATAATCACAAGGCCCCGCTCTATCCTCGTTAACCAACCATGAGTTCCATTGCGGATGGGGACAGTCGCCACCTTAATACAATTTTGCCTGTTTTGATTTCCCTAAGGGTAGATAATACGTAATGTACGCTCTGCTTACTCCCAGAAAGTTATGCTCTGTTTTATTGCAATGTTTACCATATCCCACATGCTTTCACCACATTGTTTATTTTAAAGAAGCTCACTGCCCTGAGGGGGGCAGTAGCTATTATATCCTCATGCTTATTACCATGCACACCGAATGTTCTAGGGAAGAAAAGTTTGAAGACATGCTTTTTATCTGAGTTCTAGCAAGCCCCTGCGTGCAAGCCATCGAATTATTGTTTCCTAAAGCAAGTTCTGAGTAACGTATCAGTACAGCACCCAAAGCTACACTATCTACCCTCTAGCGATCGGAAAGCTGCCGGTACTGCATTCACCACCATTCTCATGTTAGATAATGCGACGTTGCAAGCGAAGCTTACGCTTTGTTTAAAAAAAAAAAAAACTGTGACAAAACCTTATTCGATCGTAAACATGTCTGGAATATATACACATGTTTCCACCTGAACTCCATCACACGTATAGTTCATATGTATGTGGATAGTCTATGTATATTAAATCTCAAAATCAACCGCTCCAGTGTCAACGAAAGCCGCACAAAATGTGTCACTGTCCAATGTGGAAAAACTTAACAGGAGCAGCCCTGTTTATTTCATACATACACATATACTTTTGCAGTGGTAAAGTGTCTTCTTAAAAATCATATACGATGACAGGCAACACAGAGAGGCTAGACCTGTATAGTCAACAAATATTTGAAGTTTTCTACAATAAAACATATATATATATATATATATATATATATATATATATATATATATATATATATATATATATATATATATATATGAGCTACCATCAGCTCGTCAGCCCGCGATTACGATGATGTGAAAATGTGAATTGGTGGTTTGCAATTCTCCCCTCTCACGACACAAAAAGTCCTAGTCAGCACTTAGAAACAGCTCTTAAAGGTATATTTATCCCCACCCATGCTACTAACGACAGATTGTGTTCCTCACAACATATATGTTTCAGAAAGCTTTTAGGCGTGTCCACAGAAAAAAAAAAGTCAAAAGTGAGATAAAATCAGGGATGATGTCATGAATGAAAAAAAAATGCCAGAAGAGAACCAATACTAAGCTGCATTCACAACAGCGAATTAAATTAGTTTGCCGAATCATAACGCCACAGCATACCTTATCATGTAAAGTATATGACAAATGAATATGACGATGCAGGGCCGGGTGTTGAGAACAAGGTGTAAGACAACACCAGACACATTCTAGAACAGTAGGTATCTTCTTCTTCTTCTTCTTCTTCTTCTTCTTCTTCTTCTTCTTCTTCTTCTTCTTCTTCTTCTTCTTCTTCTTCTTCTTCTTTTGTTAGCTTGAAAAAAAGTATTTAAATCTGCAATGTTGTTTGGCAGATACAGATACATTACACTAGATATGTCTTATGTCAAAGCAGCTAGATAAGCGATAACTAAAACCTTTCATCTCTCGTGACACCCGACAGGGTAAAGGAAGGAGTCACAAAACATTAGTCAACTGCCTCACTAAAGTTTCCTTTGAAAGAAAAAATAACATACCGTAATATTTGTGTTTACTTTGTTCATGCTGTTCAAAAGGACATTAGCGATATTGACAAAGGATTGTGTAGCTAATGTACTCTGGTGAATATTCTGTGGATTACAAATAAACAACTTTTACTACGAACGACGTTATCCTCAAAATTTGAATTATTTAGCTTTAATATAAAATATTAAAAGTACTTACATCAAGGCCAACATATAGATATTCATATTTAATATTGTTTATCAAGAATAACATATTGACATTCAAATTTAATATTGTTTTTCAAGAGCAACATTTTGACATTTATATGTAATATTGTTTTTCTACGGTACAAAAAAATAACAGAAGAATCGCTACAATGCCTGATGGTCAGCCATAGCGGTAACAGCTATAAGTAACTGTTACCGAGATTGAAACCAATGTTGTTGTCAATACAAGCTGAAAAACGTCAGTGTCTAATTCAATTGTGAATCATTAAAAAAACAAAACAAAAAAAACAGAAAGTGTCGAGCAAGAAGAAGAAAGAGGAGAAAATGAGTTTGGATCTGAATATCAGCATCGCCTTGTCCACACTAAAAAGGGTGAATTCACAATAAAAACATAAAATTTTACCAAAAATCTCTAAGAGCATACATCTTTCCCATTGCAACATACGCCTATGAGTCCTGGACACTTACTTCAAAAACTGAACAGCGCATAAATGCCTCTGAATACAAATGTTATAAACACTTCTAAGACTATCATGGGTAAAGAAAAGAAAAACATGCATCCATACTTCAAGAACTAAATACTGAAGAAGGTTGGCTATTAAAGACGATAAAACTAAAAAGTAGAATATTTTGGTCACTTGAAACGTCACGAAAGTTTAGAAAAAACAATGAAGGGGTATATGCCTGGGAAAAGAGGAAGGAAAGGAAGAGGAAGGCCAAAGAGAAGATGTGTGCAAGATGTGGCGGATGATCTCTAGATGGGTGTATCGAAAGCACGACATCTTGCCTGTGATCGATACATTTTCTGGAAGGTTTTTATGGGAGCAATAAGACAAGCTACTGGCTGACTGACTGACTGACTGACAGAAAAAGTTCCCAACCTTTCAAATTAAAAACAAAAAAAAACAAAAAAAAAAAAAAACAAAACAACAACAATCATTAAAATAAATTTCAGTAGTCAAAAATAGACGTGCAGAGTGAATTCGAGCACCGTCTTCTCCAAATTAAATATTTGAAGTCACACCCCATAAGCTTAGTAAGTAAGTAAAGGACCCACCCCCTTCCCCCTTTCAGATGCATTGGGCACATATGGTTAGACCTATGTCGTATAGACCAATCAGCACTTGATGAGTCAGCATCAGCCCACCTCCTTTACTTCTCAAGGAATTCAGTTAGTACCCGTTAATGCTTGGTCGACCTGAAAGGCAAAATAATTTTTAAATAAAGTCCGAAAAGACCCAAACCCTTGACCCTCTGATCCGCAGGGAGGGCCTAGCCGCTACACCGTGGCAACTACCGATACATCCCTTGCTACACTAAGTAGTATTATAAATAGTTGGCACCTGCCATTCTCTCAAGACGATAATGTTATAGTGTGCTGCATGTAGGCCTGGGAATTATTATCAAAAGTGATGGCAGGTGTGACTCGGAAGACCCGCTGGCGTTGACAGTTCCTGTACTGCAAAGCACAATCCTGTGTTGTATTGTAAGGATGCTCTGTTGCTAATGCAGAACGATCTCTCACTTGGCTTGCCTTTTTTTTTTTTTTCAAAGAAAAAGTAACACAGATGCCTCTGGATCACAGGATGCCTCTATCAGATGGACAGCGCTTCCGTTGAAGACCAGTTGCCAGCCACCTCTACGGGGTCCAACCTGCTCTGTGCGTCTGTCTGGGCTTCGACCAAAGTGTAGTTGTCAATCAAGGCTAACAGTATGGTCTGTCCTGTCATACAATTTGTCCTAAAAGTGTTCGTGTTGGATTTCCATTAGCACACATCTTGTCACCCCTTTTTAGGATGCAATTTTTCGTTATTTGAAGCCCTAATCTGGCTCTTGCCAGGGGCCGCAATATAGCCCGGCCATAAATGTGGTCTAATGGCTGAACGCGGTTTCTGTGACCTCTCCACGGGTGATCCTCATCCACATGGTGGCACTTTGTGTCATCAGGTGTTTATCGCTTGTGTGATTTTCTGGTGGGGTATAAGAAGATAGACAGAGATATATTTCCATTAGAGTTCTGCACACACACTCACACACACATACACGCACGCACATACACACGCGCGCACACGCATAGGCTCGTGCACACGCACACACATACACACACACGCGCACTCACACACACATAAAGATGCCTGGAGTTAGTGACGACATTCTTTATGATTCAGCACCACAAGCGTTGCTAACAATTCAACAAGTTTGACTCATCTCACCTTCTGTGTCAAGTTGTGTTTGTCAGGCACGATTGTTTCATTCAGGACACTGATATCCTCACCATGAGCTGCCACAACATTCAGCAATTTGCTAATGGCATTCACTTGTACGCTGAGATCAGAGACAGACAAACATTTAAATCATACGTAAAGTGTCTACTATTCTGGAAGCGCCGCGCCGACATGGACAAGAATTGGTGACACAATTTGACATGACACGCGTGCAGAAAAAATTCAACAAGCATTTATCAACATAGTTAATAGGGAGCACTTAGTCACACAAAGGGTGGCCCCAGATTCTGGGGCCCTTGTTAGTGTCTTTACTCTTCAAATTAAAGTATTTATATTAATTGACGAGGGAGGCTAGGGGTGCCTGTCTACATTCAATACATGGCACTGAAAAACTGACTGACTGACTTTCTACCCCACCAGGACATCACACAAGCGATAAACACCCGATGACACAAAGTGCCACTATGTGGATGAGGATCACAGTGGAGAGGTCCTAGAAACTGCGTTCAGGCAATTGGCCATATTTTTGGCCTGCCTATATTGCAGCCCCTGGCAAAAGCCAGGGTGGGGCTTTAAAAAAAAAAATGCACCCTGAAAAGGAAGTAAGTCGTATATAGCAGTGAAAAAAAAAGTAACATCCTTAAATGCAACTGAGGAACCGACCGTTAGCCCCGTTTGAGAGATAACAAGCACGTCATCATCGTGCGACACAGAGGTTCTCAGCATATGTGATGCGACTTTTTTCGGGGTGGGGGGTGGGGGGGGGGGGTCGAACAGTCTTTAAACAAGGGTCGCCAAAGACCATCGCAAAATAAATATTAATTAAAGTTATGAAATAGTGACGAAAATAATTGTATGGTAGGGGTCGCGACAACATGAGGAACTGTATCAAAGGGTAGGCACAACATGAGGAACTGAATAAGAGGCTGCATTAGGAAGGTTGAGAATCCCTGATGAAGAAGTTCGTGTGCAGAACGCCCTAGGTATTCTGCCAACATTACAGCTTGCTACATGCAATACTAAAAAAAAAAAAACGGAACACGAAATCATGGCTTACGAAATTTACAAAACAAAAATAAAAGAAAGATAAACAAATAAATTTGTGCAAGGCATGATAAGAGAGCATTTGGTGATAGATTAGCAAAAAATCGAGGGCAGGCAACTAACAGGGGAAATAATAAAATATTTTATAATGTTATAAAACAGTTCATTAGGGACTTTTAAACTGTGGAGTAGTCCCATTAAAAGTAGGAATGCTACAATGCTTTTATCTGATACTGAACAGAAGATGAGATGGTCAGAACACTTTCTAGAAATGTTAAATAGACCTCTTCTTCAGCCTTTCTATCCCCCAGTGGAGCATAGGCCCTCAGCCAACTAACGTCAAGTCGTTCTATCATTCGCCATTGCATGGAGCTCTCCCCATCTTTCTAACTTCATTCTCCAACTCTCTTCTCTGTGTGTGTTTTGGCCTTCTTTTATTCCTACGCCCCTGTGGGTTCCAATACAAAAACATTCTAGTTATGCTGTTCTCTTGTTTTCTCAGTTTGTGTCCTATCCAACGCCAGCCTCTTTTCCTCACCTCTTGGTCCACTGGAGCCTGTTTAGTTATCTCCCAAAGCTCTACAATAGCTATTTTATCATACGGTTGAATTTCTTCTATTTTGCGCAGGCACCAGTTAATGAATTTCTGTAAGTGTTTTAGTAATTGCCTAAGTTGCATGTTTCCGCCCCATACAAAAATTACTGATTTGACATTTAATTAAAAATGTTTAGTTTAGTATTTCTTTTAATTTCTTTTGACCTCCACAAATTCCCTAGTGTTATGAAAGCTTCTCTTGCCTTTTATATTTATATTTTAATATCTCTATCAGTTCCTCCATCTTTATCTACATTACTGCCTAAAAATGTGTCGGCATCCACGGCTTGGAGTGGGGTGCCATTGAGAGAAACCACATTACTATTTGTCTGATTTATTCTCATTATCTTTGTCGTTCCTTTTTGGATTTTCAGACCAAACTGCTGTGATCTCCCTATCAATGCTGTCATAAGCTTTTCCATTGTCTATAAATCCAATGTAAAGGGATGAAAAGATAAAAATATAAATCACTTCATTGAGCAAAAATAGCATCAAATGTTGGACTACAAAAAAAGTTATGAACAAAATAAATAAATATAGGAAACGAAAGCGGGCAGATCTAACACAGAAGTTGGTTTATTTATCAGCCAGATGCATTACGACGTCAAAAGAAACAACCCAAAATAGTTATCGCCTGTGACCAGCGCCTTAGGTAGCAGTGTGTCATCAGTGTGTCAGTATTTTGAGTTAAAAAATTTGTTGCTGCTTTTAGAAGCTGCTTATGCTTTGCCAGCGTGTGTCATAATTTCTCAGTGAATAAATCAGCTGAGCTGTTACCCTTGTGTTATATCTGCTGAGTCTGCTGAGACAGTAATATTTATGTGTATGTGTATATATTACATATGTGTACTAACATATATATTTACACACACACACACACACATATATATATATATATATATATATATGTGTGTGTATACATATATACATTTTCATATATACTCACATATATATTTACACACACACATATATATGTATATATATATATATATATATATATATATATATATATATATATATATATATATATATATATATATCCATACATATATACTCACATATATATTTACACACACACACACATATATATATATATATATATATATATATATATATATATATATATATATGTGTGTGTGTGTGTGTGTGTGTGTGTGTGTGTGTGTGTGTGAAGAGGAAAGTTATAGCAAATGAAATTGGACACTTACGTAGCCACATTGTTGATCACGTCGGTATTTTCATTGCTAAGTTTTTCTAAGAATTTAGCAAGTTTTTCAGCCGTTGCTATACCGTGTTCCTAACGAAAAAAAAAAAAAAAAAAAAAAAGAAAGAAGTAACCTTACTAAAACAACTGTTAATCACAATTAAAGTCTGTACACCGATCTATTTCCTCTTCCTGTACCAACCTGTTTTATTCTGTTATAATCCTGTCTAGCCGTGGACCTGATTTTGTTAAGTTTAGCAGAATAGGAACATTATGATTAATACTGTATTTAGGGCATTACCAGAATATATGCATTTGATGCGTATCTTTATTAGATGTATTTCTGAGCCATAGACAGGCTGTTCTACAGAGTAAAGTTTTAGAGTCATATATCAGCGAAAGAAGAATAACATAATGTTTAGGAAGATTCCTAACTCAAAAAAGCCTATAACAAATATCAGAAGACAGTCACCCTACTATGGTCATTTTACGGGAATGGGGAAACTAAAACACAACAACTAGAAATGTTTTTCCATGGCGTGGATGAGTGTCAACACACGAACTGTGTGTGATACGTGTTGTTGAAGATTGTAGGTTGTGGCGAGTCATGCTCGGACACACCAGTCGGCAAGGCCTTTGATGATGATGACGATTATAGTGTTGAATCCCTCAGCCTAAACAATAAGCAGCGGATGATGAGTCTTAACTCAGAACTTCATATCAGTCTGTAAAAGGATCAGTTACTAGTTACATGATTCTGTCGCCACCGAACCATGTGGGAAGCAAATAAACTTTGTTACAAGGTGTAATGGTTAGTTGAGCTCAAGTCCACTGAGACATTCTTCACTTAAACAAACGTAGTGATACCTTTCGCTGGTGCACATATTTCTAGTGACATTCCACACAGAACAGCTAACACTTTAACATTAAAACAGTCACACGTATCATATTATTACCAGACCCCACCCGCCCCCACGTGTGGGTTCCGGGGCCCCATTATAGGGAAAACAAGAACAGACCCACTGCCTCCCCAAAAATCATGTTGTAAGAGTCGACTAACTGGGGGCTTCCTTTGAAGTCGGAGTGCATCTGCCTGAGAGGCAAGGAACCAGCAATCTGCATACAAATAAGTCATATCTGTAAAACAGGTCCTGGAACAAAGCCAAAGTCCAGAAATGGGTGAACAACCAGGTCTTTCCACTGGAGTTTATAGCCGGTGAACGCAAACAACAACTACATTACCAGTCCAAGTTGTTCAATTTCGTCTTTCTTCTCAACAGAAACACTAAGAACGAAGGACACTTGTTCAATGCTATTTTTTGTTCTTGAATCCAGTTTGTTCATCCTTCTCAGTAACTCCCTTCGTATCTGAAGAGCAAACAAAATGTCATTAACCAACATGGCAGTTCCCCAATAACCTTTACTCATTATTTACAACAGGGAAGGCTTAGTTCAAAAAATAATTATCATAACTGTTGACAGACACAACAAAACAACGCTGGCTAACAAATCGTGTTGCCATTTCAGAGATCACGAGCTTTAAAAAGCGAATTTTTAAAGCCGGTCTGCGTTCCTAAATCGATTATGTACAAAATAGATATTAGGAAATGTTCTCAAAAGTGCAAACACATTTATACTGAAACAAATTGACTGATAATTTATGCGTGAACCACGCCGCCATAAGTTTTAAGTGCTCATAGAAAATGCCACTTGTCAAAGCATAGATAAGTTATTTAGTCAACTGCCCGTAGGATATGCACTAGAAAAGATCCACTGCTATTTTTTTCAAGCAAGTGCCAACATTTCGATGCAGCCAGCGACACAGAGAAACACAATGAATATTCACTAGATGATCTGGACAACTGTCAGTTCCGTGCTCAACGATATCCAATGTCATCTGGTGTGTCGCTGGCCATAGTTAATTTTAATTATGTTCTTAGTTGTGTTGCTGTATTTCAATCAGTTTGATCTTTCCTCGGGAACGCGCTGTTGTTTTAACGAATCGGTTCGCTGGGCACTTAGGCTGAGTTCCACTGATATCCCAGTGCTTAAATGTTTATGTTAAATGGCTTACTATAAATACAAATTCTATTTATGTGAGTGGTTATCTTAGGGACCAAAACACATCGGTTTGCCTAGGCGCCAATCATGTTGATAGGTTGGCTCTGGGTATGAGAGTATGTGTGTTAACTAGGCTGGTAATTTAAACAAACTTACGTTAGTCTCCCCAAACAAAGTAGGTCACGTTCCTTTGATAAGTTTTTTGGACTGGTCTACCTTGGTTGAGGTTATGGGTGTGCGACGCTGTTGTTTGCTTTCTGGATTGTTTTGCACTTACGTTTTTATTTCAAGAAAGAGAATGCCTGTTATATAGGTTTCATCTCTCTCTAAAGGGGTTTTGTGATAGGCCCAGTTTGTCGATGTTTTTAGAGTGTTAAAAGCGCTGGCATGCTGACATATACAAAATGCGATATCAACCGCATTGCGGAACATCTCCGTAACCTTGTGCCAAATGCGAAGCTCAAGATCGACCAATCAGAAGTGAACTAGGCTGAAGGTCGACCAATCAGAAGTGAACTAGTGTGTAACACTGTGTAAATAGGGAGAGTAACGTTACTTTTACAGGCTGGCACTATTGTTTCGTCCCTTTTCTCAATCTGTCATGAATAAATTCCATCAACGTATATCCCAACAAAGCAGAACACTAAGCAATAATAATTACGTTGCGTGCGTATTGTTTTTGTGTGTGTGTGTGTGTGTGTGTGTGTGCCTTTTCTGTAGACAAGATTAACTCGTTCCACAATGTAACCACGACTGCATTTCTATCTCTCTCACAAGCTGAAACTGAATGGATTGCAAACAGAATATCAATATTAATCCGGTTGGTTTGTTTGGCGCCAACTCTGTCGAGTGATCATTTGTTAATAACAAATATGAGTCTAAACATAGGCGTAGAAAAGGGATCTATTACTTTACTTACCTGTGTTAAGGTATGGGATTTACCTATATTAAGGTGCGGGGGTTACCTATAATAAGGTGTGGGACTCACCGCCGCACTATCTGCCCAGGAACAACGCTCGCATTTGCTGCTTGTAAGTATGTGGGTGTTTGTGCGTGTGTATATATATATATATATATGTATGTATGTATGTATGTAAATGAGTGTGTATGTGTATATATAAACATTTAAGAATATGTGTACGTGTGTGTGTGTTTGAGTGTCTATGATTGGGTATAGGTGATGCGTGTATGCATTATTCCGTAATGTATATTTAAAAAAAAAAAATATAACATGCGTTATTGATATCAGGCAATGGTGCTCTGCAAGATAAGTGCTTAGAAGGGTCGAATGTCAGAGGGACCTGCGTGCCCAATTTGTAACCCTTTAAAAAAAGTTTGTTCGTTTGTTCGTTCGTTCGTACTTACTATGTGGTTACTATGTTTAACAATGTTGCATACCTTTCACCAATTCTCGACTGTGCATGGGACTGGCAGTGAGTCGTAGATCTTAGTGGCTTCGATAGGTGCCGCGAACAGATCCGAATAGGTGGAGTGAGGCCAGACATTGAGGCAGGTTTGGTCCCAACACCCAATACAAATATGAGTCCAGAGTCACAAACCGACGCGACGTGTGTGGAACTTGCATGCGCAATATCTTTCCATGTACTACGTGTGCGTTTGCAAATTACAACGTTTTTATCAAACTGTATTAGAGTACACTACAATTAAGTTCTCAAGTGGTCAGTTTGCCTCGCGCTCTGAAGACCGTGAGTTCGTTTTACGGCTGCGTTGTTCAGTTCACGAATTTAATTTTTACAGAGATCTCTGGGGATCGTCACCGGATCCAAGGAGTTCGTGCTCTGTGCGTTGCTCTCGGCAGGCAGGTAGCCGTTTTGCGGGGAGAGACCGAGCTATTTGGTGCAATGAAGTTGATAATCTCGCATTTAATCTCTAACATTGAACAGTACAGTTACTGTAAACTCACTACGACTTTGTCCTCAAAAGCAGCAGTTGCGTCGACACTGATTATTGTGGCCACGTTCTTCAGTGTTCTGGCGGCCGCTACAAAAAATATAAGAACATAAATGGATACATATCCATGATTCTAGATTTAATGCTATCGTTTAAAAAAAAAAACACAATAAAAATGCTACACTTGAACTGAGACGTGTGAGAGGTTTCATGTAACATTCCAGCATGTCTTGGTTCTAGTTTGTATATTTAAGCAGCAGTACTTGGCTACCTAAAGTACAAATTACTGTTGAATGCCAGCACGTTACAGAATTACGATGATTGCGAAAAAGAGTTAACATGTGATCTACATAACTGAACCACCTGACAAAAGCAACGTAGTAGCGAGAAGGCTATTGGTATGAATGTCAGTCGTGAGTAACCACAACCATTTATGATGTTCGTTAAAAGCAGACACAATTTGGGAAAAGTGAAGGTTAAGCAACACAAGAAAAGTCATACACCAGCTTCAAGAAATAGGGTGCATTAAAAAGTGGAAAAGTAGATGGGGATATAGGTTATTGTGAGATACGGTTGTGATTGAGGCGTTGAGTTTTGTTAACCGTTGTAATGAGAGTGTATAGTGACGGTGGCACCCCAGTATTCATACTTTATTCGTTTCCAATACCAAATGTTACGCAGACCTAAAGGAAATAAGGACAATGAACAATTCGCTCCCATGAAGAACAAAATGTCTTATTGTTATTGGTATATTATCTATTGGTGGGGTTTTGTAATATAGTTCTTATATTGCCTAATACCAAAATACACAAATACAAAAGCAATAATATAAAACAAAATGCAACCTCTCTTTACCTCGCTGAGAAGCGTCCAGTGCCCACTTGGATGGTACTGATAAAGGATGGGGGAAGGGGATGGTGAGGGGTTTAATGTTTAGAAGGAGACTCCATTTTTTTCCCACATTCCGAACCTGCCTAACCCTCACTGGGCTAGGCTTTTACTAAAAACCTTCTCAGAGAACTTTGCTTGTCCTTCTCCCCAGAGTGTTTCAAAAATTTTAAACTGGTTGAAAGTTGAATGTTGATTTAGGAATCAATATCACAGCATGGGTCAGAGGTCGT